TAATAAAATAACACATTCATAATTTTAATAAATATTAAACTTATTTCTTCATTTTATTCCAATAAGTAAATCGTAAATATAATCAACTACATTAAAATGTTTAAAGCATCAAAGTAAAAAACAATATGTACTATTATGTATATAATAACTAAACTATATACTTAGACTAAAAACTATGATATAAATAAAAAATAAACTATAGGTAATATATTTCTAACCGTTGAACAAATATCGTTATAACTAATAATAAAATATTTTAGTAACACAATTAATATCATAAACTCAATAGTAGGCCTACGGTTTTTTGTCGGTCGGCGTTTCCTGCAGTTCAAAACACTATCTCTGATTTGAACTGGTGCTCAATGACATTCTATACATTCACAGCTGTTACCCTAGAGTTACAACGATAATATGAATAAAACAAAAAAGCGATAAACGTTATCACTAATCACGCAACAATTTAAAATTCTGATTAATACAATATTTCTTTTTTACGGTGAAATTTGAAGGTATGATCATTAAGAAACAATAAGTTTCTTTTAACAACATACGAGGGGCGAGGAACACTTTTTATTTTACCTATTTATGTCGGTTCTAAATGCGATCATATAAATTATTTTATTTTGCGCAATAATAATTAATATAATAGGTTTGCAATTTATAATTTTATTAATTTTTTGAATCTACCTATTCATTTCTCTACGCGTGTTTCGCAATATTTTAGGTGGGCATGACACTTAACGCTTTAAGTATGTTGCTCAGAAAACAATACGGATCACACGGGGTTTGCAATGTTGGTTTTATTTCAATTATATAAAATTAAAAAATGTGTGAAGAAACTTTTTTTTTCATGATGATTAACGTGTGTACCCAACAAAATTGATTGTTGTGTGGTTTGATATTTATTAAATACAAACAATTTCTTACTTGATTTTCAGTTAAATAATTATAGACGAAAAGACAATTAAATTATTGTTTAAGAATTTACTCATATGMTATGGTTGATTGTATTATTCATTTTAGTTCTTAATAGTTGACAAAAGCAAATAAGCAAATATTTTACTTTAAGTTTGAATTATTATATGTACCTACTGATCGAGGATCTACTACATAATACTTATAATCCATCAATTTATTTAATCCGACTGAAGATTTTTACACTCCAAGTCGGTATATCAATTCAAACAATGATTAAATATGTTTATTAAAACATTTCKTATTTTCGTGTGATTAATCAATCATACTAAAATAATTTTTACGAATTTTATGAAAAATTACAGAAAGGATACCCTAAATTAATAATATCATTTGTAAAAATTATAAATGTGACGAATTCAAAAACGAAATAATCTTTTTTTTTTTTAAATTTCTAATCATTTACGTGCTTTGTTCTTCCGAGAAAAAAAAACAAATAAATGTTTACATTGTGATTTGGTTTCATGTGTAAGGCGACGCGAAATTATTTTCAACGTTTATATTTCAAAACTCGTTTCTAGGTTTTGCCCGRAARCATATCATCCATTCGATCCTGACAACATAGAAAAATACGTAATAGAAGATGACTATTTACCAACGTGGAAAGTTCCGTCTCTAAAAAAATATTACGTTGATCAAGGCGCTTCGATGAAAGTTTCCGTTGAATCTCATTTGAAAGCTCAAGGTGATGATCATTATATTGAAAATCCGGAAAGCTGAGTGTGTGAATCGGACTGATTATATTGAAATATCGCTGTTTGTTGTTTAAAGGAAGAGACGCAACGATAATATGGGACCAACTAGAGGATGCCATACGGGTCGTATGTTTAGAAAAAGAATCAATGATCAGAAATCTGATGAAAAATTACAAGTCGAAAACGAATTTTTTTGAAATGGCACGTTTTGATTTTGTTGTCGACAACGATCTAAAGGTGTACATAATGGAGGTGAGTCGATTGGATTCAAGTCTAATGACAATWTTTTTAATCTRTTTTAGAAATTCTAACGAACTATTGATTGTATTTATTTTAAATTTTTAAATTTATTTTAGGTCAACATGTCGCCAAATTTGTCGTCGGCTCATTACCCACAAAATCGTTTACTTTACGAACAAGTGTTATTCAATTTATTTGCTATTGTTGGCTTGACCCATTTCGAACGGTAATATTGGATGTATTTTTGTTCTGTTATTTTACTGATATTCATTAATAACACCAAAAAATAATCAGAACAGTGACATTTTAGAATTATGTGTTATAAGYATATACAATAATTACAGCCATCTATAGAACAAGTTTAGAACCAAACAAAAATTGTAAAAWTGTCTGTTTTTTGGAGCAAATAAGTTTAATAAGGCATTCAGCAAACACGTTTAAATACTCAAATAAAATATAAAATAAAATATACTTAATAATATGATAAATTATATTATTGAAACACAATTAAGTGCATGTTAACAATGCACCTATAATAAAACGATGTCCTAACTCTTAACTATTACAAGTCTGTTATGATTGGTTAGGTCAGAGGAACTGTTTTAGGAGATGAACAAGATTAGTGTGTTTTTCTTTTGTAAATGCGTAAGCATACTGTGTACATTACGTAATAAAACATCAATAAGTRGTTGAACAGGTTTATACCTATGAAAAATKTCGAATTAATGGAATGTAGAATTATTTTTAAATTTWAAATTTTGTGACAGACGTTGAAATTCTTCAATTATCATTATGATTGCATTCAGATGTTTATTATTATGATGGCTAATTGTTAATTGTGTATGGCTTATCGTTTATATTTAAATATTTAATAGGTACCATAATGCATTATACAGTGCGATTAACCATTCGTGCTCGCCCCTTTTTTCTTCAGTATAAAGCAGTTATTCAAAATTTCGAAAATTCAAAAATCAAAGTTTGAATGAATTATTCATTAAAGGAAAAATGTATTGAGCATCCTTGGTGGATCACCCTGTAGGTAAATTATTATACATGGACAACTTTTATAGCGACGATGTAATTCGGCATAATTACGTCGGTAAAATTATTGATATTTAGAGGACCAGTACAATAAATTAAATACTATTTTCGGAGTTTTCTCGTCGATTGG